TAAATATTACAAATCAAATTAATTATCTAAACACTTAACTAACTAATTACTAAGGAATTAAGCTAATTAATTACAACACAAAGTAATTAACTAATCTACTTAATAATTACAACGTTTGCATGAATTAGCTACCACTAATTGACTAAGCAAAGCAACTAAACGGCCTTAGAAAGTGAGGGATGCATGCATGCTTGGTTTCTTCACCTGAAAAAAGCCATCACCTTGCTTCTGCAAGCCTTTGTTTGCACTTTTGGTCACTAAAAATTGTGCCAACTTCTAGAACACCTCTGCTCCACCTTGCCAACACATTTTGCAAATTTCAATGATGGCCGGTCGGCTACCAATGATGGCCGGTCGGCTACTGTTGGTGGCCGTCAGCCACTGCTGACTTGAACTCCCTTTTGCTGCAATAGAGAGCAAAAAGAGGCAAAGTAGTGTATTCTCAAGGGTTATCTGTACTGTTACCCTCCTTATCATCAAACAAGCTCAAAGGAGTGTAACTCTTGGCTCTCAAGCCATCAACCAAGCAATTTCATTGCATGATAGCTAAGGGACCAAGCTTGTACAAGTTTAATGAGTGCAAAACAAGACTCAAAATGACCACCACCCTATCATGCATGATCAAGGGTGATGGTGACCAAGGAAAGTGGCACATTTCATCATTTTGAGTATGAAATGTCCCATTTTCCTTGTGCTCGAATTAACGTCCGATTCGAACACATGCAATGTAACACGAAAGATGCTTATCTTGCCTCTTTTACTTGTTCATTTTGTTTACTCATTTTACATTACCGATTCATTCTTTAATCGATTAGGTCCAAAAGTGAGTGTCCTCTAATGGAAAGATGGCTCAAACAACGACTTGCTTGGGGCATGAAAGAGGCATTACACTGTTGGTAATGAACCCCCTAGGTGCAACACCTCTATTTCGTACTTAGGCAAACAAGGGGTTTAAGACCACTTTCAAAGCAAAGAAAAGAACGAAGAATGGAGGGAGGTTGTAGAGATTTTAAGTTCTGAAATGAAGTGTAAAACAACACAAACATGCTATCAACTCAAAACAATGATGATTAAAGCATTAAAACATCAAGTTAGTGCAAAGACTTACACTACAACCATGCAATACAAGCCTCAACTGAACTAACTAGCCCAAAATAGAGGCAAAATAGGTTATTTCAGAGGCAAAAACATGCTGGACTAGAGCTAAGTTAAGCTAGAAAAACATGCTAACTCATAAAGCTAACTAGGCGTGCAAACAAGACATAACGAGGGGAGGCTAACCCCTCCAATTTTGGACTTCAAAAGTTGATTTTTACCACTGAAAAATCTCTAATATTTAGTGGTTAAATGGCCCAAAATAGTTGATTTGTAAAGTGATGGAAAGATAGTACAAGAGCTTAACAAACAAAGAGACAAGAAGGGTGGACCAACCCTTAACTCAAAATAGCCTCAAACCACCATTTTTAGATCATAAAAATAGAGGCTTTTACACTCTAAAACCAGCCTTAAAATAGTTTAAAGGGATGGAAAAATAAGTATTTAAAACAAGTATAAGAAAGGTAAGTTCTATACCTTTGAAGCAAAGCACAAAACAACCACAAATTTGAGTTCAAACCTCTTTCAAGAGCTCAAATTAGGTCCCAAGTTATCTCAGCCCAAAGGTGAGAGTATTTGGTTGAGGGTTAGTGTGCAAAAGCTAAGGACTTGTAAGCAAATATGCACAAAATATCAAGAGAGAGAGAGAGAAAATTCTAGAGAGAGAGAGAGATTTTTGTTCTAAAAATGCTGACCTTCAAAAATGGGGGAGGAACCTGCCTATATATAGAAAAACAAGTCTTGAACTTAGACACATCTCACCATACACGTGTATGAAGATGCAACTTAATGAGCAATAGCTGGCACAACTGTCAACAAATATCTAGAAAAAGCGACCAATGGCCGTCGGCCACCACTGCTGGCCGATAGCCTGCGGGGCTGGCCGACAAGTCACCCACTCTTCAGACTAGAGGCAACAAACCCTAGGTCTAAAAACATGCACAAAACAGATAAGGTTTAGAGGCTTAAAGACAAAGCGTTCCGTCGAAGACTTCAGGCGCTCAAAACGAACACAAACAAGCACAATCATCGAGTGCACAAACGATGACGTCCAAGCCTTGAGGACGATCGAAAATGAGGTGTCTACAATTAGCAGGAAAGTAGGCGTGAGGAGTTAATGTTGTTTGATGAGAGAAGACTAAGAGCATTGTATCATGTCCAGGGCTACCAGCGCAGAATTGCCAGGGGTTTTAATAAGAAAGTGAAGTAAAAAAATGTTCAAGAAGGAGATATGGTGCTGAAAGACAACTGGGTTCCCATTCTTGACCCTAGTGGCAAGTTCAAAGCCAACTGGACTAGTCCTTACATCATCAAGTCAATCTGGTTAGGAGGGGCAATTATTCTCATGAACTTGGATGGCCTGGAGTTTTCACAGCCTATCAACATAGACAAGTTGAACAAATATTACCCCTGAGAGGCTCGCTATGCCGAAAATCCGAAAGGACAACCTAGGCAAAAGTTAGAGTATAAAAATTAGAAACAAAGAAAAACTGAGCTCGCAATGTTGAAAACCCTAAAGGGCGACTTTAGCAAATGTTAGAGCGCAAAAGGAGAGAGTTAAAACTCAAGTGAACTTGAACCGAACTACATGAGGCCTGATTCCCATATTTGGGATACGTAGGTAACTTCATCTTGAAGTTCGGCCGTAATTATCTCTAACTCAACTGTCCTGTCTATTTGTTTGATTAGGTCATTTTTGTTCATTATTTATAAGCTTGGTTGTGATCTTCGTTTTGGGAAGAAGACTCATTGTACAATGTATAGCAGTGGTGGTATACAAGCAGGGGCAGTTATGATCTTCCAAGTTGGGGTTACGTATCTTGAGGATCGATCCTGCGCGTTTCAGGTGGTGATCGTTTTCGAAAATAATTTTGAAAAGTTTTAATAAAAGTTGATTTTTCTCAAAATTTTACTTTTATAACTTGGACCATTTTGGGACCAAAAGGAAAATTTTTAGTGCTTATAACCTTAGTTCCATTGATTTCAACGTCAAGTACATTCTCCAACTCTTTGCTGCAAATTGAAGTTGCTTTTACATCATAAAACTTGAAAAGAAAAATCAAAGCAATAAAACTAGGGGCACATGAGTCAGGTGTTCCTGCGCCCTCCGCTCGTATTGATAGAAGTCTGTGCAGCTAAAGTTGGTTCAACTTGTGCCTCGTCCTTGAGCTAAGCTAAACATTCACCAGAAAGGGCATAACTGAAACTAGAAGCAAGGGCCAAGCGCTCTCTCGTGCTCCAAGCAGTGAAGTACCTAGCCAAGTGTGAAGCACGAATCGGGAATGAAGCCGGGTATTCCACCCCTATCTAGACATGTCTGATCATGCCCAAATTGGCGTCTGAACTAGAAAGCGAAATAGAACAAACAGTGTGTGAGGCCAATCAACTGAACACCCGGCTGTCGGGTAATGCTATAGCTCATCTCGGCTAAGTCAAGCTAGGGTAATGCCAAGCTATGTCAGTTGCAGACCTGTGGCACATCCAGTCGCAACGCCATCCCTCATTAGGGAAGTCCACTAGGCATTGGAAAAAAAAAAAAGTACGCTCAGGCCAAGTAAACTGGGCAAGGGTTCACCACCTTCAGCTTGTCTATCAGCCAAACCTGGGAAGGGATGAAAAATAAGAGAGATTAAAGAATAGAGAGATGTATGTTGAGAGAAAAGTAAGAAAGGGCTTCGAGAGAAAATAGAGTATGAATGCCAAGTGATGTAAGAAATATATATAAATATGTATATATATAAGATAGGGTGGGAAACAATACCTGGAGCAGTAGTTTACTCACCACAAACCTAGTGGTCTCTCACCGGTGAAAAGCATCCAAACCTATCAGGGTCTCGGCCAAGGTCAAACCGATGCAACTCTTACCTTCTTTTAGGCATTAGACTACCTCAATCAACTTGATATTGGCTCCATTGAAACTAGGGGCAAGAAGATAATGTGCAAGCATACACAAGCAGAGGGCGTGTTGTCAAAAGCCTCACCAGAGGAGGTCGCCTCGGTCACCAATGTTAGAAAATTGACGAATCAAGCTAGGTATATCTAGCTCTCCATCATGGGCCAAGGATCGAGCTTCGTACAAAGTAAGCCCATACATCCATCCCAAGGCTAAGGCATGGCCAAAATGGGGCTGAAGTATAATTTCCTCATTGCGTTGGGATTCCATTAGTGCCTAAAATTCTTCAAGAGTCGGGCATATTTCTTATGCTCCGAAGCGAAAGACATACATAATCGAGTCCCAGCATTGGACTGCGGCATGGAGAAATGGAAAAAAAAGTGGAGTGCGGCTCAACAAAAAAAGCGCGTTTATGCCAAAACCCCAGAAATTTACCTTTTCCGTACCATCTAAAGTGGCTATCCAATCCATGAGTTTCTCGACAAGAAATGGCTCCATTTGTGGAAGAAACAACAGCTGAAATGAAGTTCTGGAGAAGAAATCACGAAGAAGGATCTTTTGTAAAAGATAAGGCTATAGTGAAGGCCAACTATCAGCTTTCTAGTGGTTCTCCACATTTGTGGCCGACAGGCCGCTTCTCCTGGCCGGCAACCTCTCTTTTATGGCCGGTAACTCCCTCTCCTGGCCTGCCGCCCACTTGTGTGCTGGGCAGTGTTGGCTGCCTAGTTTTGTCTTGTTCTTTGTGTCATTTGGTCTTGTTTTGAGTCTTTTGGTTTTTGGAAGTGTGTATAGCTATTTTTGGTCTGTGTTTGAGTTGTTTTTGCTTTATTTATTGAGTTGTATTTTGTATTTTTGTCGCTGGTTGGCTCATTATCTGATTAAGAACATTATTCCAATGCAAGCATGTACGGTTTCAAATTCAACTTCATGTTCTTTTTCATATAAGTATGTTACTCGTGGTGCAGTGCTCATGTTGTAGAACCAATACTCTTTTCATAAAAATTATGAGGGTTTTATTTCGATCATGGTTTTTACAAAAGAAGTACAAGTTTCAAAAGCAAAAGTAAAACCTATCTGAAGCTATACATATGCTAAACTACCAAAACTAAAAGAAATTAAGCAAAAAGTCCAAAAAGCAGCGTCAATCATCTCAAGCTCAGGAGGCCTTCTTCGTCCTCTTCCTCAGAGAGGACTTAGGGGCATTGTCTTCGTTAGCGCCGCTGTCAGAACCATACTCTGAGCCTCCGCTCCCTGCCTTGGAGCCGGCCTCGGTGTCATCTCCGCTTCCCGATCCTGAGCTGGCATCATTGTCCTCACTCTTAGACTCAGAATGTCGACTCACTATCTTAGAGGCACTGGCCTTGTCATCATCATCGCCACTTAGAACGGGCTCTGAAGGACTACTTTGGCCTCGGGCACCCTTGTCCCTACCTCGACCACGACTCTCATCTCAGCTGCGTGCTGGGGCCCATCTCTGTCATCTCCCTGCTGATAGAGGAGGTACTACTAGTGCTGATGCTGCTGCTGCCACTGGTGCCCTCGGTACAGATGAGATCTAGAAAAATAGTTATCAACATATCAGTTACAGTGTATGTATCAGATACAGGTATAGTATACAAAATGAGTGTCATGCAGAAACTAGATACATTATAAGTACAGTGTGCCAATACAATGTACAGTGTAGTTTGGAGAAGACTACAGTGGTGATGCCAATATGTCAGTGGAAATATGATAGTGTGGTGCACAACAGAATTAGTAATGAAATGCACGCTGAAATGGGGGAAAATACCTGAATACCGTGGAGACCATGCAACATCTCTCTCTTCTGCACCATGTCGATCAGGGAGGTAACTAGCTCAAGGAAGCTCTTTGCATACTCCGTAGTAGGTGCCTGCAAGTGCATTTGACTGATTAACATCTGGAATAAACATATCTGAAATGGAAAATGTGGGGTGCAAATTGTAAAATGTGGTCCATACCTGAGGCGCGCCTCGAGCTCTAACATACTCGTGCCCTGCCTCTGCCGGCTCGATCAAAATCTGGTAGGCAGTCCCAGTCGACCGCCCATATGTAAGCGCAGTAGGAATCTCCAGCCAACTGGTCATTTGTTGAACAGGAGGGGCCCCTTTAATATGGGCCCTGGTCGCCCGAGTCGCCTCACCCGCCATAGGAGCTCCTGTTGTCTCGCCTGTGTGAACGCCCGTTAGAGGGGACATAAGATGAGTCTGGATGAATGTTACATAATCACCCTCTGCTCTGAAGAAGTTCGCATCCAGGCTCTCCATGAACTGAATAACAACCTCAACTGAGAGGCTATCTACTGTCCGTATAGACTTTAGGGGTGGCATGGAAATGACCGGATCAAGTGAGCCAACGGTCTGGCATACAAATCGCTCGCTCAAAAACCAAGCCCGGTAGACTGGGCCCTCTAGCAAAATCCGGAAGTGAGATGTGCCTCAGGCCCCCGTATACTGGTCCTTCACCCTGGCCGGCATCGTCGCCTAAGGCTGCCATGTGATCTGCAAATAGAGAATGTACAGATTATTGGTTGCCATCAAATATCGAAGTATGAATCAGAGCAGTATTAAAGAAAAAATGATTATGAGTTTCGGGTTGCCTCGTCGGCGATCAATATATCGAAGTAACGGCAAAAGAAGGCGAAGGTCGTATCATCACGATTTTGACGCCGGCACTGGCTGTCAAACAGTCGTGAATACGATACTATGGGGGGATCTCATCCACAGGCTTCGGAGCAAAGGCCGAAAAATATGCGTAAACCCATAACTGCAAGAAAAGAGCAGCAGTGTTATCAATAGTGTCAACAGATATAGAAAGTGCAATAGATATAAAGAGTTAACAATGTTAACAAATATAGAAAGTGCAACAGATATGGAAAGTGCAATAGATACAGAGAATGCACAATGCAACATATATAGAAAGTGCAATAGATATAGAAGATGCAACAGATACAAAGAGTGTATAGTGTCAACAGATATAGAAAGTGCAAGGCAGAAAACATAGAGCATGAACAGATATGGAAAGTGCAAAGCAGAAAGCACAGGTGTTGAACAGATATAAAGTACAAAATGAGAAGAAGAAGGCATAAGTGCAAAGTAAAAAGTGGAGTGCATACCTCCCAAGCCTGCCAGTGGCCTTTAACTCGCTCTCCCATCATGCGGGAAGTAGAACTCATGTAACTGTAAAGCGTGACGAGGCCAGCTCTGTCCTAGTCATAGTATCGGACTCGGGACAGGGTCACTAAGTCGTTTAGTAAATACAATCCTACGATGTTCCACCTATATGTGAACAAGGTGGTCCCGAGAAGAAACATTAAGAAGCTCCAGGTGTACTACTTTATCTCCTCTAGGATCACGGGCTCGCTCTTGCAGAAATGCTCAGAAAACCAGCTATATCGCACCATCACTAGTCTGGATATGAGTGGGCGTGCTCCAAGTAGGAAGATCCAAGTTGCCTCCCACTCACCCATGTCCGTGTCGAAGCGGATCAGACCACGCCCTACTCTTAAGCCTGTCAACATGGAGAAGTCGTAGGGAGTCATCGTCAGCTCCCCAGCGAAAGAGAAGTGGAAGAATCGGTGGTGTCCCACCACCTCTCTACCAACGCTCCGAGGAGGGGCCGGCTCGCTCTGAGGTGTGAAAGTCCGGAGCAAAAAAGGCCAAAGCCAAACTCGTCGACAATATTGCGGACACCTACGGGGAGCTCGTAGTATTAGTCCCTGGCCATCACCACTCCATATCCTCTGTAGGTGAGAGAGTCTCCCTGTGACAAAAAAGAGTGAATCAGGTGAAGTACAGTGATAAATGAGCATTCAAAATAAAGGCAATGCAAGAAATGCAATTCAAGGGAAGGCAAAAATACATGAAAATAAGGTGTTATCTGGCTCCCTCAGCAGAAGGTCCTCTGGCGTGCCACATGCAAAGTCGCTGAAGTGCTTGATACCTCCGGATAGTAATATATGTGTGCCGGAATGATACGCCTCTAGATCAAAGGGCCGAATCCCCAGTGATAATGGCTTGGGCTCGAGTCCCGAGGCAAACTCTGCCTCCAGGTCAGCTGCAATGCCCTTCGCCGCTAGCTCTTCAACCTCAGTAGCGGGTGATGGTGGAGGCAGAACCTCGGAAGGAACCCCGTCAAATGGAATATCGTCTGCCATCTGGGAAAGTAAGTAATAAGTGGGTGAAAAATGAAGAAAAATGTAGAAAAGAGGGAAAACTTGGAAAAAGTCAACCCCAGAAGAGAGAAAATGAGAGAAAAAGTCAAAACCCGAGAAAGTTTACGAAACCCGAGAGAAACTCGAAGGGGATAAGCCTAAAGTGGTGAAAATGAAAAAAAAAAAAAAAAGAAGTGATGAAATCAAATTATGTTATGTTTAAAATGTAGAGAATCAAGAGGGTTTTACGGAAAAAGTTTACGTGGGGCATTGGAAAACGTGTATAAAGTGCAAATCTAGAGAGTGAAAGCACCTGGAGAGAGAGGGATGATTTTCGGATAAGGGTTTATGAGGAAACGAAGTTTGGAGTTGTATATTTAAAGACCCGAGGCTGAAAAGACAAAACTGTCCCAAACTGGCACGAGTGGCCAGCAGGCCACATTTGTGGACGGCAAGAACAAATGGTGGCTGGCAGGTGGCTGGCAGGTGGCCGACGGCTTTCCCTTGTGGCCGGCAGGTAGCCGGTGGTCTTCACTTGTGTTTTGATAATATTTTGTGTCTCTGTTCCCCGAGAAGTGTATGGGAGTTTCATTGTTAGGTTCATATTGATTCCAAGAGATCTCGAAACTACATTTTGGCATGTAAACATTCTCCACTTGCCAAGATGAATACGATGTATCCTTTTTTAGCATGTTGCAGTGTCTCTGAGAGGTAAGTCAGAGGTTGTTACTGAACATTACTTTTGCTTGTTCTGTCAAATTACGTATCTTTTCTCTTTTGTCGTATCGAATATGTGCTTCCACATACACTTGTGTTGCACGCATGCCTTGCATCATTCATGATTCATGCATTGAGTATGCATTCAATTAAAATCGTACATCGGTTTTCTGTCTTGCATGGAACGTGCATTATCATTATGTTGAGTTGTCATCTTGTTCACTTTGTGCATCTATCGCATTTGTTCGCTTCTTGCCTTGTTTTATTATCTCCGTGAGTTTCGTTGTTCGAGGTCAAGGCCTTCCTGGAGGAGAGATAATGTTGCTTAAGTTCTGATTGTTTGAACGTTCTTTTGTTGACTTGTTTAAATCGGTTAAAAACAACAGTTGTGCCTATTTTTTCACACCCACCCTCCTTTTCTCATGTGCAGCACGCCTATTTGTTCACACCACCCCTCTTCTTCTCACGTGCGACGCGTTTGGATTGTTCAAATCGGTTGAAAACAACAGATGCTCCTGTTTCACACCACTCCTTCTCCTCTTGTGTGCGACATGTTAGGATTGTTTAAGTTGATTAAAAATAGCAGGTGTGCCTGTTTGTTCACACCACCCCTCCTCCTTTCGCGTGCGACGCATTAGGATTGTTTAAAATGGTTAAAAATAGCAAGTGCGCCTGTTTGTTCACACCACCCCTCATCCTCTCGCGTGTAATGCGTTAGGATTGTTCAAATTGGTTAAAAATAGCAAGTGTGCCTATTTGTTCACACCACCCCTCATCCTCTCGCGTGCGACGCATTAGGATTATTTAAATCGGTTAAAAATAGCAAGTGTGCCTGTTTGTTCAAACCACCCCTCATCCTCTCCCGTGCAACACATTAGGATTGTTCAAATCGGTTAAAAATAGCAGGTGTGCTTGTTTATTCACACCACCTTTCCTCCTCTCGCGTGCGACGCCTTAGGATTGCTTAAATCGATTAAAAACAGCAGGTGTGTCAGTTTGTTCACACCAACCTTTCCTCCTCTCACGTGTGATGCGTTAGGATTGTTTTCCTCGGTTAAAAACATCGGTTGTGCCCGGTGTTAACACCACCTTTCCTCCTCTCGTGTAAGACGCATTGGGATTGTTTTCCTCGATGTAAAAAAAAAAAAAAAATCCGATGTGCCTGGAATATCATCTTTTCACCCTCTCTGTGCGAGGCGCAATTTGGGTTTGGAACCTTTTTCGTTCTTCCTATGTGAGACGTTGTTGGCTTATATTTTCTTATATCCTTTCTATATGTGACGTAGTTTAGTTTGGGCTTTTGTTGTCTCAATCGCTTGAGACGTGTTGATTTATTTGCGCCTTTCCGTGTGAGACACGGCTTGATTCATTTTGCTTTAATTTATGTTGCATTGCTTTGTTTTATTGCATGATCATAAGTTATTTTTCCTGCATGTGATTTGCTTCTTGCCCCTAAACTATGCTGGTTTGATTCCTTGCAAAGGGATACGTAGGCAGCTTGCCAGCGCAACCATTTACTTTATGTCTTGTTTGTTTTGCCCAAGTCTTACGGCCTTGTCAAAATGGTTTGTCTTCAGGCTTCGACATTCACTCACGTCATTTCATGACTTCGAGTTCTGCCAAAGTGGGGACACTGTAGACGCCCCATTTTTGACTGCCCTTACGAATTGGGCACCATCACTTGCACTCCCAATGATGAATGTATATGCTTGTCAAGTGCTTGAAAGTCCTCAGCAGAATGCCACAGCTCTGAGCCTCAAAATCCTGCAAACCTTGTGCCTTGTTTTTGCACAAAAACCCTAGCCTGTCGAACTTGAAAAACTTGGGACCTGCAGGCCTATTTTTGTGGGCTGTTGGCTATCCTTTTTGGCTGCCGGCCACCCTTGTGCCTTGCCGGCCAAGTGTGTGGCCTGCTGGCCACAAGTGTGTTTTGCAGATATTTTCTGCTAGCTGTTTGCACAGGTGTTTGCATCTACCTACACGTGTATGGATGGATGTTTCTAAGGGAGTGTGATGTTTTTCTATAAATAGAGGTCCTTCCCTTCCATTTTTAAATGTTAGAAAAATTAGAGCAAAAATTAATTTTCTCTCTCTACAATTCCCTCTCTTTCTCTCTCTTGAAGTTTCTTGAGCTTTTGCCTATACACCTTTAACCAAACCTTGCCATCTTTGACATGAGGTACTTTTGGGCCTACTTTGAGCTTTTGAGGGTGTGTATGTGTTGAATTGTTGTTTAAAAGTGCTCCCTTTTCAAGAGGTATAAGGCTTAGCTTGTTTCATTACTGTATTTGCTTTGTTTCCTATTGCTTTTCCATTATTTTTGGGCTATATAAACTTTGTAATTTTGGGCTGAAACTTGTGGTTTAAGGCCTTAAAGGGTGGAGGCGTGGTTTACCTTTCCTTCCACCTTGCTTCCCTAGCCTTTTCCCTTGTGTTTCCCATCTTTACACTAGCTTTTTTTGAGTTTTTAAATACTGATTTTTAGAGTTATTTCAATGGCTAAAAACAAGTTTTGAAGTCCAAAATTGGAGGGGTTAGCCTCCCGTCCTTGTGTCTTGCTTACTAGTTTTACATGCTCCATGTTTTAGCTTATTGTTCTAGCTTTTGTTAACTTAATTTCAGTATATTTTATGACTATTTTTAGACTGTTTTTAGTGGTTCATTGCATTTGAGCCTTGTATTGCATGCTTGTAGTTTAATTGTCCTCATAGGTTTGGTGATTTGGGCCTTAGCCACCATCTTATTTGAGTTGATAGCATTTGTTTATGGCTTTCCATACTTGTTTTCACCACTAATCACTTCTGCAACCTCCCTCATTTTTTGGCTTTTGCTTTTCTTTGAAAGTTGGTTCAAACCAGTTGCTTGTTTAAAGCATGAGATTGAGGCCTTATGCTTAATGGTTTAATCCCTTTGGGGGTTTATTACTAACGGCATGACACTTCTCTCATGCCTAAAACAACTCTTGGTTTGATGCTTCTTTCCATTACAGGACTTAAAGCTCACCTTTGGACTTAATGAATTAAAGAATGGAAAGGTAATTAAAATGGAATAATAAAACTTGGAGTAAAACGATGCAAGATAATAACTTAGTTTGGGTTCAATAGGACATTAATTGAACCCTTGAGTCTTGGATCGTTTCATACTCATTAGTGATGAAAACGGTTCAAAAGTCATTGTCAACAATTTCCCTTGATCATCCATGATAGAGAGGGGGTTTGAGAGTCTTATTTGTTGCATTTATTGAACTTGCACCCTTTGGTTCATAGGCCATCATGCAATCAATTTGCATCTATTGATGGTTTGTGAATCAAGTTTACTACTCATTTAAGCTGTTTGATGATAAATTAGGGTAAGTTGTGCAAACAACCTTGAGAATACCTTGTGCTTGCTCTATTTGCTCTTTGTTGCAGTAAGAAAAACCAGTCATTTGTGGCTTGCAGACCACCTTTTATGGCCAGCAAGCCACCACTTTTAGCCTGCCGTCCACCTTTGCAAAACCAGGCAGTATACTTTTGAAGCAGAATAGAGCTGATTCTGAGATTAAAAAAAAAATAGTGCAAGTGTTCTACTGTGCAACAGAGGCATCTGGCAGTAGAACAATGGCCTTTTTCTGGTGGAAATCCGTGCATGCGTGAGTATTCCTCGTTTCCTAAGGCGGAGTAATTAAAATAGCCAGCTTAGCACTTCTTTCACGTTGTATTCATGTAATTAATTAGTTCATTTGGATTTGTAATTAATTAATTAGTTAGTTCAATTAGTTAGTTAATTTATTGTAATATTTAATTAGCTAGTTTAGTTGATTATTTCATTCGGTTTGTAATTCGTAGTAATTACCTTAGCTAGTTAGTTTATTCGGATCCTCCTGCAAGAGGGCGCAAATGTTGTAATAACGTGTATGTCTTCCAACCCCACGTCTTTCTCCCTTTTATTTACCTGCTTATGATGGTTAGTTTAGAAGTATCATGTTTCATTTAGCATCTCTCATGTTTGCATCCACTTCTATTGCATGCATTGAAACTCGACATATCATTCTAACTTGCATCATTAGTTAAACACTTCTTTGAATACATGCTTAGACTACATGCTATCAAATTGATTCATATGTCATATTAGTAGCCGAGCCTAGTAATTGCATATCGCATGCGTTGCATTAGTCATATTGCATTAGTTAGGATCATGCATTCTTTCTAACTCTGTCATCTTTTTTGGCTTAGAGTATTTGGTGAGCCTTTACTTGCTTTAGTATATCACATGAGTGTGATTGTTGCCATATCCAGCATGCTTGCCATAAGGCTAATTACTTAAATGATAAACTATTTGAATACCTGTGGATGAAGACTAGTTGCTTGACTTGGGATAATTTGATTAATGCCCATTTTAAGCCCACTTTTTCAAATGGCAAATTCACAAAACAATTTTCAAATAAAACATGAAATCAAATTTTCTAATTCTTGCAAATTAGTCTATACTTGTGTGTGTGCGCATCACATAGTAAAATTATCCTAACAATCAAAATAAGAGCATATAATGTAAATAAGATTCACATCATGATTAGTGGAGGCTGATCTTTGATTGGGCAAGGGGGGTGCTTAATTCATGACCTTCCTCTCTTGTACCTAAGTTTCTGAGCCGAGACAACTTTGGTGATGACAAACTAATGGCCTTTGGCACGAGCCTTGGGTTTCCTAAAATTTTTAAAAATATTTAGGTGGCGACTCTGAAATCTGGCAAAGCAGTCCAGTTTTGCAAAAGTTTAT